AGTATTTCTAACAGCTGCTCCCGCCTCCTCCCTTGGCTCCACGTCTGCTTTCGCCTCCTCCCTTGGCTCCTTCAGGAGTATTTCTAACAGCTGCTCCCGCCTCCTCCCTTGGCTCCACGTCTGCTTTCGCCTCCTCCCTTGGCTCCTTCAGGAGTATTTCTAACAGCTGCTCCCGCCTCCTCCCTTGGCTCCACGTCTGCTTTCGCCTCCTCCCTTGGCTCCTTCAGGAGTATTTCTAACAGCTGCTCCCGCCTCCTCCCTTGGCTCCACGTCTGCTTTCGCCTCCTCCCTTGGCTCCTTCAGGAGTATTTCTAACAGCTGCTCCCGCCTCCTCCCTTGGCTCCACGTCTGCTTTCGCCTCCTCCCTTGGCTCCTTCAGGAGTATTTCTAACAGCTGCTCCCGCCTCCTCCCTTGGCTCCACGTCTGCTCCCGCCTCCTCCCTTGGCTCCTTCAGGAGTATTTCTAACAGCTGCTCCCGCCTCCTCCCTTGGCTCCACGTCTGCTTTCGCCTCCTCCCTTGGCTCCTTCAGGAGTATTTCTAACAGCTGCTCCCGCCTCCTCCCTTGGCTCCTTCAGGAGTATTTCTAACAGCTGCTCTGTGGTTGTTGTTGTTGCTGAGTGTTTAAAATGTCGACACATTTTATTTTTCAATGAAAARTAAATGATGAGGCTTTTCATTTAAATGAATCCTCTTTTCTCTGAGAAACACAGGAGARATGGCTCCTGGTGTGAAAAAGTTACTAAGTCACTTTTACTCTAAGTATATTTTTAATGATTTACTTTGTATTTTTACTTGTAGTTGAATGAAATTTTTGCAGAGTGACTGTACTTTTATTTAAATACATTCTTTTAATACTGTGGTGGTACACAGATACTAGTGTTTTTACAAGTACAAAAATCCCTTTACCCTGACAATCCCCTGAACTGATACCAGTAATGATATTGTTTACATTTCAAGTGAAAAGTTAGTCAGCTCCATGTTTAAAAATGTCTGCAAATTAAACGAAAATCTTATTTGTTATTTGTATTTATTTACAGTATATTTCATTCTTTATATTTGATTTGATGCAGTCAGAGGGGCTGTAGGCCACCTTGTTCTACTGAAAGAAAAATGGATTTTTAAAGGCATTATGTCATGTTTAGGTTCTAACTCAATAAGTACTCGGTATCAGTACTCGGTATCAGTACTAGGTATCAGTACTCGGTATGGGGCGGCTGTGGTGTAGTGGGAGAGCAGCCGGCTTGGGACCCGAAAGTCTTAGGTTCGACTCCCCGCCATGCCCACATGTCGTGGTGTCCTTGAGCAAGACACCTAACCCTCACTGCTCCCCGGGCGCCTCACATGGCTGCCCGCTGCTCCACTTGGGTGTGGATGGGTTAAATGCAGAGCACAATTTCATCATTGTGTGGAAACATACACTGATGACAAATAAAGCACCTTACCTTTTACCTTTATCAGTGCCCAGTCTAAAGTACTCACACTTGTTCTCTCAATGTTTCGTCTCATCTGACCACACACCTGTACAGGTAAGGCCTTGGTAGTGATGGTCTGTTTGAAGCTGTATGGAAAAAGACAACACAATGTCTCAGAAGTTCTTTGGTCTTCATGATGTCTCCAGTTTGGACCAAGTTGAGCTGTTGGGCTGGTGCTGGTTCTGGGTTCTGTCAGAACAGGTTTATACTGAGGTCCTCTCACATCCACAGGTGGAGCTGATTTAACTGATTATGTTGCTTCTGAAGGAAATGTTTGGAGCRTCACAGTAAACAGACTAAATACACATGTACACTGCAAAAACTGTCCATCTAACCAAGTTTTAAACCTTATATCAGCCAAAAACTGTAAAAACTGTCCATCTAACCAAGTTTTAAACCTTATATCAGCCAAAAAGTCTTTTTGATCTTGTTTTCAGACTGATTTACTAAACAAGAACTGATTGTGTAAGAATAATGTTTTAAACTTGGTTAGATGGACAGTTTTTACAGTTTTTGGCTGATATAAGGTTTTAAACTTGGTTAGATGGACAGTTTTTACAGTTTTTGGCTGATATAAGGTTTTAAACTTGGTTAGATGGACAGTTTTTGCAGTTTTTGGATGATATAAGTTTTTAAATCTTGGTTAGATGGACAGTTTTTACAGTTTTTGGCTGATATAAGATTTTAAACTTGGTTAGATGGACAGTTTTTACAGTTTTAGGCTGATATAAGATTTTAAACTTGGTTAGGTGGACAGTTTTTGCAGTGCAGCAGTGAGAACTACTAGAAAAAGCTTTTGTATATCTACATGTGGCGTGAAATGTTGGAATCGCATGAAGTTAAAGTTAAAACATTGTTCAGATATTCATGAATTCCAAATAATATATAAGGAAATGGTTTTATTTCAGTACAAGAGTAATTTTGGTGG